CCGAAGCCGAGTATAGAGCTCTCTCGGCCGCAGCAGCTGAGGTAATGTGGCTCACCTATTTGTTTGACATTTTACAGATCAAGCTCCCTCCTCCACAGCTTCTATGCGACAACCAGTCCACCATCTGTTTGACTAAGAATCCGGTCTTCCATAAACGCATGAAACATGTCGGAACTGATTGTCACTTTGTACGAGAACAAGTAATCGAAGAGAAAATGACGGTCTCTTATGTTCCTTCAAATGAGCAGCTGGCAGACCTTCTCACAAAAGCTCTTGCCTCGCCACGCTACACTGCACTTGTTGCCAAGCTTCCTCTCGTTTCACGGCGTTCAGCTTGAGGGGGGATGTTAGACATATATGGAAAGAAGTCTAGTTATAGCAGAATTGTATTTATGTTAGTTTACATATTTGGTGAATCCTAGTCCATGTAGGGATCCTCACCTATATAAACATCCTTGTACACAATTATTCTTTAAGAGTGAATTCATAAATCAACAAATATGATGAATGACAAATAATAAGTAAAGCTTATTCAATGAAGCCTTCGTTGCACAAGAGATATCAATAGTAGACAAGCAAACGTGAACAAGAATTCAAGGTCGAAAAGTCGTAGACACATCATTTTTAAAATAAAATATTTTATTTTTAGAAATATGTCTTGAAATTAATTTGTTTTATAACTCAAAAAATACTATTCAAATTATTCTTTTAAGGTTTTTCTTGTTGAAGAAATGATTTTTTAAAAGTCTTTTTCAGACATTCTAAGCCTTATTGTTACGTTGGAGAAAAACTTGCCAAGTATACATTTTTAGCCTATACATACTATCGATGGTGGATTTTAGACCATCAAGGTGAGCAGTCTGTTATGCAGCAACGGTACGGTCAGGATTTTGGCCACCATCGATGGCCAATTTTAGACTATCGATGGTGTGACATTTTTCCCCCTAAAATTGCTTTGTTTTTACTCTGCTTTTGCTAATTGATTTATTACCATTTTATCTCCAATGGTCATCAATTTCTTCAACTATAAATTGAGGTGTTCTAACGTCATTTTAACACAAGAATTCATCTTCCAAATTAATAGTCTTGATTATACTTTGTATATACTTTTTAATAAGTTTTTATTGAGCTTATTTGAGCCACTCTTGATAGAATTCTTCATGTTGTTCAATGGCGCATATTTGCATCTCTTCATCTACTTTGAAAGAGAGATCCAATCTTTTTGTAAAGAAAGACTTGAGAAAATCATTTCTTCTTGTTGAGAGTTCTGATTTTCTAAGAAGTTGTAATCTTAGTGTGTCAAGTCTTAGGCGCGAGTAGTCTTGTAGATGGAATATCTATGGACACCTGTAATAATTTGTTAAGCACCCGTAAAATGCATATGTACCTTAGGCCCATGCAAAAATTTGTCTTTTTATCTCACGCACGTGCATAAATGATTATTTGATGTAATATAAAATTGATGTGAGTCAAAAATTCAAAATTGATCTCAATCGATCTTTTAAACTATGATTATTTAAATATTCATTTATGATATCACTATATTAAAGTTCATAAAATGTATATATATCTTAGGCCCATGTAAATTCTTTTATCTGATGCACGTGCATAAATAATTATTTGATGTAATATAAAATTGATGTGAGTTAAAGCTTTCAAAATTGATCTCAATCCATCTTTTAGACGATGATTATTTAAATATTCGTTTATGATTTAGTCAGTATTTGAGTATCAATCAAATATGAATATAAATTTTATTTTATTTAATGCATTTCATATTCAAATTCATATTTGAAAGATTAAGTAAATACAAATTCAAATATTTTGGTAGTCCATTTAATTCGTTTAAATTATAGTGAAGTCATTTTTTTCTCTCCCAACTCTAAATTATAGGAACACGAAATCTTACTAAATAAGAATAAAGTTCTATCAAAGTACCAAAATAGTAGTAACATAGTTTAATTTTGTAAATAGGTATATGATGCCAGTGTGATGATGACAATATGATGGTAATACATATTGAAAACTAAAGAAAAATGTAAAATATTGACTTGTCCACAGGCCACCTCACAACAGTGCTCCGGGGACCTCATGGCGGCGTGCGACAATGCTGCGGTGACAAACGATAGGAGGTGCATGGTAGCAACATATGACAATATGGCGGTGACATTATCGTGTGGTGATCCCGATTTGGTACGAATTGTATCGTGGAAGGGAAGAATTTAGAGTGATGAGAGTATACTATATACTCTCTCCGTCCCAAAAAGTTTTTCATATTTCATTTTTTGCGCATCCCATAAAACACTTCTACCGACATCTAAAATGCCTAAAATTTACAACATTTCTTCTTTATTGTGAGTAGAAGTTATTTTGAAAGTTTTTTTGGCATTCAAGGCGGGATAGAAGTGTTTTATGGGATGCGCCAAAAATGAAACAGGAAAGACTTTTTAGGACGGAGGAAGTATTTTAATTAGATTTTTAAATTTTATTATTTTATATTATAAAAATTGAGTAATAGCACGCAAGTATGCAATTCAAAAATATAAATTTAAATAAAATAATAATTAATTTCGTGAAAAAAATTAAATAATATTTTTTGTAAATAAATACTAAATTTATACTCCCTCCGTCCCTAAATAAAGTTCCGTTTTTGACTTTTTGAGGATTTAAGGGATGTATATTTTTGTGTTGACTTTCCAAAAATACCCTTGATGTGATGTGTAAAAGTAAGATGTGATAGGTAGATTATTAGTAAAAAGGTATGATGTGATAGGTAGGGTATGAAAAAGTAAGGGGCAAAAGGGGTTTTTTAAGGGAAAAAAGAAGTTTATTTAGGGACAAAGAAAAAACGAAAGAGGAATTTTATTTAGGGACGGAGGGAGTATTTTTTTTCTTCTGCTTACGTATTGGCACTAAAGGTGAGGAAACAAATGCCTTGTGGCACAGGAAGAAACTAACCACATCAGCTCTTTCTTCTTCTTTTCGACTAGCTATATTTTTACGGAGCTTGCTATTAGAGGCAAACTATTTTCATTTGTACTAAGCTTGTCAAAAGTCGCAAAACCCTTGGAACATCAAATTTGGTTGACTTATCAAATTACTATCCCGTCCTAGTGTATTTGTCCAGTTTAATTTTTTTGGCTTCAAACTAGATCGGACGAATTTTGGATCTCAATTAAATAAAAATTATACAGTAATTTTATTAATATAAAAATGAATTCATTAGATTTATCTTGTCCAAAATTTCAAAAAATTAATTTTATTGTATTAATATGTAATACAAGCTGAGAGTAAATGATGATAAAAATTTATCGAGTTTGACTCTAAACAATTAAATTTGAAAAACACTGGGACGAAATGAGTATAATCTAAACCTACTTCATAATAATTAGAGATGCTCTAAGTCACTAAGTACATGTGGGCAAGGTGGGTGAAGATCAACCACATGACTTTGTAACATCCAGCCCCTCTCCTAGTCCTTTTTTTTTAAAGCAAGCCCCTCTCATAGTCATTACTACTTATAGAGTCATTATTGTGTGGGTCAACGTGTCTATAAACTAACTACTCCGTACCCGCGAAAACATATTTCAATTGGATTGCACGGATAATAATTACTCCGTATTAAAAACAAGTATTGAAAAGATGACAAATCTTTCGATAGTTCTTAATTCTATTTATATTCATTTTATGGATGTTAGTATATAAAATATAAAAAAAATTGTTTTTTTAAAAAGAAAAGATTTATAAGTCCATGAAAAATATAACAAAGTTCACATTCTACATAACATTAGAACCACAGAAACACACTCTGAAAAGATAATCTACACATAATTTCAGACTATATATTTTTCTAAGGGGACTGGCTGATTTTTTTTAAATTTTGAATTGGATTGAAAAGATAAACAAGAAATTTCTTGGTGGTGATATACATGGGTTCACAATTTCACATATGTGTAGTTATTAAATACTCGTACTCTTGTTCCATAAATATTTGTACTCCCATTTTCCCATGCTAAAGGCACATGAGGTTTATTCTAAGACATTAAGGGTTTGTTTGATACACGAAATTAACGAAACTAGAATTGAATTCAGAGTTTGAATTCCAAATTCACACATTAAGAACTACCAATTCCAAATTCACACATTTGCGCTACCAAACAACAGAATTAGAATTGTTAAGTTGTTCTCAATTCAAAAGTTTGAATTCCGTGTATCAAACGGAGCCTAAGGAAAATTTAGAGCTGATTAAAAATAAAATGAATGTTGTCAAAAAGAAAAATGTACGGAGAGAGTGTAAAAGTAATTTTAAAAACTAGGAGAGACGATGTGTTTAAAAATGATTAAAAAAAGTAAGAGAGAGTGTGCAAAATGGATTGAAAAAATAAAAAAAATTGATTGAAAAGTAGAGATGTTATGTCAACATTAGGGGTGTATCTGTCAAAGAAATAAATTCAACCAAAAGTTCAAACATGTGGTTGAACATGAAATTAAACTAATTTTGTTTAACCTGGGTGAGAGTAAGATTTGAACTCGTAATCTTTTGGTAATCACTAATCAGGGCTTCGATAGCATCTCAAAAGAATCAACTAAACTAAATTTTTAAGGTTGTAACTTGTACGTGGTTGTAGGCCCACGATATATTTTTATACTACCAACAACATCCTTTGTGGAAGGAGTATATATATAGAGTGAGTCTAGTTTGATCTTCTTTATTCTTCCATTCACACAAATTATATAATGGCCTCTTCTGCAGGGAAGCATGGAACTTCTTCTCTGCTTGGAGTTCTTTTCCTCATCATCGTATCATCTTCTGCAGAGAAAGGTATATATGTGACATGTGTTTGAAAAAATAATTATACTCTTCAGAATAACACACTAAATTAATTAAAATCTCTAATTTCTTTTCTAATGTTCAACTTTTAAATACTCCGTATTGGTGTAAAATTTAAAAATAAAACTCCCTATTATTATCTTTATAAAAAGTATCATAGGTGACAAGATTATTTCATCGTTAGAAACGATTAAAAAAAGATAGATATAATTTGAATTGTTTTGATGTTTGGTATTAGCACCGTACACTTCTTTTGCAAAGGATGCCACATCAGCTGCCGCAGAAGCAGGGCACTACGACTACATAATCATCGGAGGCGGAACAACCGGCTGCGCACTGGCGGCCACACTATCCTCCGCCGCAAGAGTACTCCTCCTCGAGCGGGGCGGCCTGCCCTACGACAACGAAAACGTGACACACGTAAGCGGCTTCGGGCCGACGTTATTGGACACCTCCCCCGCCTCCGCCTCTCAACCATTTGTCTCCACGGACGGCGTGGTCCTCCACCGCGGCCGCGTCCTCGGGGGAAGCTCGGCGATCAACGCCGGGTTCTTCTCCCGCGCTAGCGGCCAGGAGGTGGCCGAGGTGGGGTGGGACCCACGCCTCGTCAACGACTCGTATGCATGGGTGGAGACGAAGGTGGCGTTCAGGCCGGGGATTCAGGGGTGGCAGGCGGCGCTCAAGGATGGGCTTCTAGAAGCCGGAGTCCGTCCGTACAACGGATGGACTAACGAGCATTTGCACGGGACCAAAATAGGGAGTTCAATATTCGATGAGAGCGGGTACAGACACACCGCCGCAGACTTGTTAGAGTATGCTGATGAGACTAAGATCACTCTCTTTTTGCATGCTGTGGCCCACCAAATCTTGTTTAAGGGGCCGTCACCGGGCCAAAAGCCCAGAGCGTATGGGGTTTTCTTCAGAGACTCAAGAGGAGTCGGACACACGGCGTTCTTGAACGGAGGGTCCGAGAACGAGATCATTCTCTCGGCGGGTGCGATTGGAAGCCCGCAACTGTTGATGTTGAGTGGTATTGGGCCGTCGGGTCATCTCAAAGCCCATGGGATAGATGTAATACTGGATCAAAAAATGGTGGGCCAAGGCATGTCGGACAACCCAATGAATGGAGTCATTGTCCCTTCCATAAGGCCAGTAGAGACCTCACTTGTCCAAGTGGTGGGCATAACTGACTTTGGGAGTTACATTGAGTCTGGGAGTGGAGTGTATTTCAGCCCAAAAGCCATTGAAGCTTTGGGCCAGGCTGGATTTCAAACTTTATTTCAAGACACAAAGATCCAAGCTGGATTTCTAGTGGAAAAAGTAAAGGGACCCTTCTCCCAAGGGCATTTAGAATTGGTGAGTAAAGACCCTAATGAAAACCCAAAAGTGACTTTTAACTACTTCCAAGACTCAAGAGACTTGGAGAGGTGTGTGAAGGGCATGGAAGTCATCCGAAAAACCGTCGAATCAGAGCCTCTTTCGGCATTCAAATATCCCTTCACGACTTTCGAGTCGCTCTTGGACTTGGTCGTTGCGCTTCCCTTAAACATGAGGCCGAAACACTTCACGTTTGTGGTTGGTTCGTTGGAGCAATACTGTATTGACACCGTCATGACTATATGGCATTATCACGGCGGGTGCCAAGTGGACAGAGTTGTTGATCGTGATTACAAGGTTATTGGTGCCAATTCTTTGCGGGTCATTGATGGCTCCACACTTTTACACTCGCCCGGTACTAACCCTCAGGCCACTCTCATGATGCTTGGAAGGTAATATAAAAAAATTACTCTCTTCGTCCCTAAAAATCTTTCATGTTTTGACTTTTTTTGATCAAACACTGACACTCTTTGATAAAAAATTAAACATAATCTAAATAAATATATGATATAAAAATTTGATATATCAAAACTATATCTTAAGATGAATCCAAAAAAAGTCAAAACAGGAAAAGTTTTTATGACCAGAATGAGTATATAATTACACTAATGTACATGTTTAATTAGCATGTCTTATTTATATACTTATCCTTTTATGTTGTGGTCAATGCAGGTATATGGGACAAAAAATTTTACAGCAGAGAACACCTTCATAAATCTAAGAAGTCACGCTAGCTGCTAGCTTTACTTTGATGAAATTTTTCAAATGAATTTTTATTGAAGCCTAAGCAAATGGTCTTCCACTAATAGTTAAGTTGATATTTATAAATAATTGCAAAACCAATTTGATAATTATTAAAGAGCATATTTTTATGTAAGTAGCTAGTGGCTTCAAGTAATAATTTGTAATACCTAACTCGCATAACCTGAATAATGCGGGATTCCAAGTTGGATTGCTACTAATTTGATATCCACATATATACATAATTATTCAATTAATTTCAAACACATTTAAATAAAAATCCACTCATTTCAAAATAGTTCAAATAGTTATCTCAGTAAAATCAAATAGTGTATAACGTAAATTGTTATTAATTACGAGTACCTTTTATTTATCACCTTCATTATTACTTCCTCCGTCCCGCTATATTCGTCCACTTTTGACTTTTGGAACGGCTCATCTAAGCACTTTGACTTATCAAATTCTTTCAATGTGTAAGCCTAAATATAGTCATGTGTGATCTTGTTTGATTTGTCTTAACATATAGATTATTAATATATAATTTCTATAATTTTTTAATATACAAATTACAAGATAAAATAGATTAAAGAAGTGTATTGGATGGTGTGTAAAAATGAAAGTGGACAAATACTCTGGGACGGAGGGAGTATATTATATCTTTTTTGTACTATTCTTATAATTTTTCTCCTGTTTAGATTATACTCCGTAATTTTCTCTTGTAGTTTCGATATATAGGGATATATCTTTCATTATTCAACAAGATCAATTATTATCAAATTGTATCAAATACGTTCATTCTCATCTCCATTTCTCCTACGTTTTCGAATCTCATCTCTTTCTCTTACATTTTTGGTTCTCCATTATTCGATTGTACATTCCTATTGATTTTAATCCAAACATAGGAGTGACATGGGAGTGTGGACTTCCATAAAAATTATTAATCAGAGTTCCTCAAATTTGATACTTAAATTAAGGACTATAAGAGTTTATCATGTCCCAACACATGCTAGGGGACCGGAATCCTTAGATGTAATCTTTCATGATTGAAAGGGTAGTTGCATATTTAATATGATCCTTCAAGAACTTACATTCTCAACTTCATAACGATGATAACATTTACGTCTTTCATTGACAAAGAGATCAAATTCATGCATAAATCAAACAATCTAATATAGACACTTCAAAAATAACTTCAAGGAAGATGTCGTTTATGCATTGGTGAAAGTCAAATTACACCGCAATTTCCAAACAGCTAAAGCTACCAGCCATCCTTATATGCTACTACAATTTTTTAGCAAAACAAAGCTTCAAGACATATCAGGAAAATCATTTCTGAATTTTCATTACAAATTTATAGGATTTGAAAAATAAATTCATTGCCTTTTGTTGACGATGTGTTGTTGATTGGTTCGCACATCATAAATTATTATAATTATTTTACTTACTCGCACATATAGTGTATAGCATAAACCTTATGTCCTACACAGAATTTGGGCTACAACCAATCAATTGATTTTTGATGAAATGCTATACAAATGTATAGCCTTGGAAAGTAAGCACGTCACCCTTTTGGGTTGGTTATGAGGCTATAATGCATTCAGTTGATACAAATATAGTCAATGTTTTCTTTATGTATGGTTACGGAGGAACCGGCAAGATGTATGTATAGAGAACATTATCGGCTGCAATACGGTCTAGAGGTGATATAGTATGTTGCATCAAGTGGAATAGCATCGTTGCTTTTTCTGCATGGTAGAACGTAACATCTCATTCACGTTTTAAAATCTCGTTGATTCGGGATGAAAACTCTACTTGCAACATAAACAAGGAATTCCAATACCTAGCACAACTCTTGGTGAAGAAAAAAAATTAATTATTTGGGACGAATCACTAATGACACATAAGTATATAGAAATCTGCTTGATATTTTGCAATTTTCCTATCAAATGAGTGAAAATAAAACTTTCAGAGGAAAACAATAATCTTTGGTGGAGATGTTCAACAAATTTTGTCAATAATTCCAAAAGGAACTAGACAAAACATTGTTATTTCAATGATTAATTTTTCTGATCTATATTTCGGAACACTGCACCGTTCTGCATTTGACAAAAAATACGCATTTGCAATAAATGATTCATGATAGTAGTTATGATCGCTCATTTTAATACTCCTGCATGCTTGAGTTATTGATCAGATCTATTTAATACAAGTATATTTTTCGAACGAATCTTTATCCTAATTGTATGTAAATAAAAATTAAAGAAATTGTATTTAGCAATTTCTCATCTCCCCACACATTATTTGGTGTCATCTATTCAATCCCTTGCCCCATTTCCCCGTTAGGGAAAGACCTTGATATATACTTCCTCCGTCCCAAAAAGATTTACATCTTTTAAAAAAATTGTGTCCCACAATCTCCTAACCATTTCTATTAAAAAACCACTTTTACCCCTTACTTTTTCAAACCCTGCATATCACATCATACCTTTTTCCTAATAATCTACACATCACATCCTACTTTTACCCATCACATCAAGGGTATTTTTGGAAAGTCAACACAAAATTATTCATCCCTTAATTTCTACTTTAGTCAAAATGGGTAACACTTTATGGGACGGAGGGAGTATATTTTTGGTAGTTGTTGCAACTAATTCAATTGAATCGGGTGTCCCAAAAACCCAACAATACAAAGGGTGTGAAACCTTGAGCCATGAATGTAGAAATACACAATGTACGTACTATTCTCTCCGTCTTCTTTATTGATTTTTTGAGAATTTAAGAGAGAAATATTTTTGTGTTGACTTTTCAAACATACCCTTGATCATGGATATATTATGAGTAAAAAAGTACGACGTGATAGATAAGATTGTTAAAGGAAAGAGAATATTTGGTAGAATATTGGGAGATATTTGTGTATATATTGTTTTGGTAGTTTTCCTTGTATAGAGATTCTTTCCTTTTCCTTTTCCTTTACTGATTAAGAGTCTCAACTTGTGAGATCCTATATATATGTCCTTATTGTAAATTGTAGAGACAAGAGAGAGTAATTCAGAAAATTTCCTCCAAAATAATTCTTTCATGGTATCAGAGCCAAAACCCTAGAAATTTTTCTACGACTACTGTTCACGATCGCCCGGCATGGCGTCCATCGATCGTTGCTCAGATTTAGTCAGTTGTTGCTGTTGCCGGATAACGGAACGGTCGACCGTTGCTCTAGAACGGTCGAGCACGTCGACCGTCCCGTCGGCAGATTGTTTGATTGATGCTGCTGTTGATTCTTCCGCCAACGCCGTACGCCACTCTGCTACCGCCATGGCCGATGAACAACCAAGGAA